CTGATTTTTGAATTGTGTATTGTTATTACGTTACTTTTGAATTCTTCCCTAAACAAAGCCTAAATCAGACCTCACGGCCCAAGTGTGTTAAGCCCAATTGACCATGGATGACCATGCCCCAAGCCCAGCTCAATTTCCAATTGTTCTTCATAATTTTCATCAAATTTTTTCTTATTTTTGGTTAAAGTGCAATTAATAAAAAAAAAAGCACAACTTAATTAATTTATTTTTTTTTAAACAATCTTGAATTTGATGGCTCCCATTGTATATAAAGAAAAAAGTTCTCTTCACATTGTTAAAGGGAAAATATTTACAAACTTAAATAAAAAATGTTATTCAAAGAATAAACACGTGATTATTTATTTATTTATTTATAAATAACTACTCTATAGCTAATAATAAAATTAAATCTTATTTACCTAATAATACTTCCGCATAACTATTTTATTACAATGGAAGTTTGACTTTTTAGGTAAGTCATCGGACAAAATTGGAAAGGATTTAGGAAGAGTTTTGACTCTAAGAGGACCAAAAATTTTAATTTATGATTTTAATGTTGAATAATTGAATAATTATTCATATTTTAGAACACAATAGAAAATAATTTATATTATCTCTGTAGACCTAAATTATGAGTTGTGTATTAAAATACGAATGAGTAAATATTCTAAAGGTTTTTTATTTCCTATTTCATTTTCAATCTTTATACTTGAGGGCCCCGCTAGTTTTGTAGCAAGATTTTCTTTGAATTTGTTAATATTTACCTATTTGGTTCTAAAATAAGAGGCATTAACACCCCAATTTTGAATGAAATAATGACATCTTCTCTTGAGAGGATAATCGCGAAGAAAATATAAATATACGATAATATTTCTCATAAGCATTTTCATATAAATGGCTAGGATCGATTTATTTAAAAAAAAAAATTAGAGCAAATAAGAGTCATTTGTGTAGCTAGACCAGTTGGGTCTACTGGCACCGAGTTCCCACATTGGAGGAGGATATTTGATCCATGCCATTCCCATTATCAATCCCACTCCTCATGTAATAAAAAATTCACCTGTGCAAACATGATAGTGTGTACTTAAATCATAACAAAATATGATGAGAGTTGCTTAATTTATACATAATACCAATTTGCTCTTTCCTATAAACTTTTATGAATCACTGTGGATAACTTTCAACTCTAGCTATCCTATTAGTTGGTCTAATAGTCATGCAAGCCTATATTATTTTGCTCATGAGCAGAATCTTAACTCGAGCCTACCTTCGCAAACATGTATCTTTAAGAGGCATTAACCCTAGATTAATGACCACATTGTTGTGTCTCGATCATTGCAATGGTCGTTGTGCGTATGTTTCCTTCTTACATCATGAACCGAACTTATCCGTGTTAAGCTCTTTCGTCCAAGGTCTCATCCAACTCAACAAATGGGAGGCGGTAGCCTCATATGCTACCTCTCTCTCCATGAGTTGGTTGGCAAAGGTAGCATATTCATCCTCTCTTTCATGATTTAGCAACCTCTGTGCCTTGGCCTTATTACACATTTTTTTCTCTAATAATAATAATTGATTTGATTTTAGATGTAGAATCAACCATCTCTATACGTCTTGCGTAGCTCAGTAACCGGACAATTGGTTTTTTTTTTTTTTAGTATATTACTAATTTAAAATTATATATGATTTAAACATGTTTGACTCTACTAAAAAGTTATATTTTGTCGACAAATATAAGTAACTTAATGTTTTTAGGTACTCAGTTTATCTTGAAATACAGAATTACAGAGTTGCAATAAGTTTTCAAACACAATCAAAGAGGGAAAATTTCTTGAACGTAATCTAATTAGCGAAATTATGATTTGGTCGACAAATGTTTTTATTAAGTATCACTAAAAATATAACTATTACCCCATATAATTATCAAAATAAAATTTTGAAGGATGAAATTGAAACAAAAAAATAGCAAAGCCATTGAATAGAGAATGGGGGGAGGGGCAAAGCGGTAAAGACGGATCAAGAGAGTAGGTAAAACCAGTCACGTCCGGACACATCGCGCCGAATGATAACGAAATAAATATTTATTACAACAAAAAACAAATTAAAAATCAAAATAATTATCGGATTATCACTTTCTACTATTTTTATCTGCCATTGAAAAATCTGTATTTATATTTTGCTGTGCTGACTTCATTTGTTTCCGAGTGCCAAGAAGAACCATCTCTCTCATTTCCTCAAATCAAAAACCCACAAAAAATCAAGAAATTTAAGCCGAAGAAGAAATGGCGGATCAATTGACAGATGACCAGATCTCCGAGTTCAAGG